TTTGCCCGCTGTTTCTGCACGAATAATCCTGCAAAAAGACGCTAAATCAACACACGGAGACCGGCGATACAGAGAGAGACGAAATGGCGAATTGGAGAGAGCGAACTTACGAAGACTTCCATAAGATCAATAATGGAGTTGAAGATCAGCAGAAGAAGCCAAACTGTGGAGGAAATTTGGCTGAGGAAGAAGAAGAAGAAGGATAAGAAGGCAATGGATTYGACTTTTTGTGGTAGAAATTTCGAAGAGATCTGTTTTGCGATTTCGAAGCTTTATTAGGGCAATGGGGAGAGAAACTGGAACCGGAAGTGAAGAGCAAATCAGAGAGAAGAAGAAGAAAGCAAAGCAGAGCAAAAAGTTGAGAGAAGCTTTTTGGGGTTTCCAGTTTCCCTTTTTCACACACTGCCCAACCAATTTCACCCTATAAATTCTTCGTACAATCTTTTTTTTCTTATTACTAAATACTATTTTATTTAAATAATATAAATAACTTTTTTTTTAATATTTTATGTTTTAAATGTTGACATTATTTTTCTCCCCCAATTGAAGTTGTTTTCTTAGTCTTATTTTATTGGGTGGTATTTTTGTGCGTTTTGTTTAATGAAAAACATTCTCTTATTTTCTCAAAAATTAAAATTAACATTAATGTCTTCAATATATATATTAACAGATTTTAGGTTAAATTAAATTTTTATAGTTGGATGTTAGAAATAATTCAGTGCAAAAAAATTCATAACATGTAAGAAGGGCAATTTGGTAATATTATGTTGACTCATAAAGTTGCTAATGGTTTGGTAGGATAGGTTATTCAATTTAGATAGTTTTACACTGATGTTTGTTTTATATACTTTAYTTGTGGGCTGGTCTATCATATAGCCTTTAATCTAACTTAGCACATGTTACTTTGTAATGAAAGTGAATACAATATGTATTTCGGTGACGATAGATCATAAGTCACATCTCATCATTAATTGTTCACGTGTTGCTATTGTTAATTTCTTGATAGATTGCGTTAATTTTAACCACAATTTCAATTCATTTTTCATTTCAAATACTAGTTAACATCATTAAGATTAAAATTATATTTCAAACAATCTTTTAGCTTCAACTTTAGTGATATCCASGAGTAAATTTTCATTTAAGTGATTGAAACACATGATTCAATGTATAAGCATCTTGAGATTTTGACTTTTAAGTCTTCACACTAGTAAAGAAATCCATCAAATTATTAAAGATCTGGTTCAAGTATATAGCCATTTATCCTATTTCCTACCCTAAAATCCTTTAAAAAATAATTATAACAAATAATCATACGAGGGCAGGAGATTGAAGAATCAATTCTCTTTCCTGTCCCAATGCTCAAATCCAGTAATTCGATAAGAAGAACCATGGAGGATAGAGAGAGAGTGCATTCCTAATTTCACTCAAACTCACCTTCATCATGATTTATGACAATTCAAATTAAAGATATCTAGACTATAGTTAATTAGATTATTGGAGAAGTTTGAATGTGAGATCTAAAAAAAAAAGTTGACTATGGTGAAAAAAGGCGATTTACCTTATTACCAAAAAGAGGACAAGGCCAATAATTTAGTGTTATATATWTAAATATTCAATAGGAAAATTTTAAGTGTTAAATTATAATAATAATTAGAAAAAAAAGGTGATTTTACGTTATGGCGAAGCCAAAAAGGGAACAAGAATTTAGTGTGTGGGAAGAAAATGATATAAATATTCATTATTGAGATTCACCCTTTTGGTAGGGACAGTTGACGATCCATCCAATCCAAAACGATGGGTTTTCGTTTTTATTTTTCATTTATCAAAGAAATTAATTAAATTGTGGGGCCCGGAGGTAGGGCAGGTGCCCAAAAATTGCAGGGCTGCCCTACAAAAAAAGTAGGGTATAGAAAGACCTGCCCTGCCCTGCCCCTGCCAACTTCTTCTTATAACTGTGACTTTCTGTACCTTCCYCTCTTCTTTCACCCAGCTTTTGGGGCTTCCTTTTTTACTTCCTCTCGCTCTCAACTCCAAGGAACAAGAACAACTTCATCTTTCTTATTTTTCCTTTTTTTAGAGTTTCTACTTTTTAAATTGTTTATATCTAACTTTTATGTTCCATTTAGTTCAAGCCGCCGAGTGCTTGCTGAAATGTAGGAATTAAATCAATGTGTGTGACTCACCGTTCATCTTAAAGGTTGTTCATCTCATACTCTAAACGATAATCAGCACTTATGGGTCAGCACCTATCTTCGCACTGACTAGCGGTTTTTTAGGACTTATGTGTTTGGTATATAGTATGAATTGCGTTTCTTGTTTTCGGATTTAACTAAATCAAATAGATTCAGTAAAATATATATTTGACATGTCCAGAATTGTGAAAACATCATTTCTCATCTTTTAAGTTTTTTTTTAATTTTAGATTTGAAACTTTAATTAAATGTAGAATTACGTAAAAAAAAATAATAATAACGCTGGTAAATATACTATTTCACGGTATATTCATTTCGTTTTTGTTAAAATTAAAATAGGTAAAACATAATAGATTATAAATGCATAATTACATAATTGAAATATGGAATACAAGTTTTTCATTGAATTCTTCGTTYTGAGATTTATATTTTCATATCATCAATCAAATGATTGCGTTTTTGAAAAATAGAAAAATATCTTTCTTTGCATTTATCTTTTCTACTTATTAGAAATTGAAGGATAGTTAGCAAAATATAGATGTTGACGAGTAAGCACATAAGTATTATTCTTCTCTAGAAATTTCATCAAATCTCATTCTCATTACTTGTYTTGTGGATCTYACACATTTTCAATCAGGATTCTTATAATTATTATATGTCTTATTCTAGTCTTATTTCGATTTGGATAGTTTTAATAGACAACATTAACAAATTTTTTGTAATGATTTCATAAAATTCTTAATGAATAAAATTACATTCTTGCCTCGATTAACTTAAGTTGTATTTCAAATGGTACTAAATAGAAAATTTTATTTGGAATTTCAAATTTACCGTAATCGATTGTAGTAAATGTAATGTATATTATTATAATTAACTAAGTCAAATTACTAATTATGTTTGGGGATGAAAATCGTTGCACCATGTGCAGGACGTAGATATTTACACACCTAAACACCTTCGTATGTCATGTCCACCTCGACCTTGACTGAGGTGGAGAACTTAACTAGATGGCGACAATACAAGTTGCTGAAGCGTCCGACCTACTACCAGGTCCAACTTGTTATATGGAACATGTCCGACCTTGCACCCGACATGGACGACCGCCTGTCGAAGGGTATGTCGGATTTCCAACCTATAAATAGAGGGTATCATTTTCAGTCACAAGTATTGAATTCTATCTCGAACTTTATATTGAGTTCGAGCTATTTACTGACTTGAGCGTCGGATAATTTACTCTCTTATACAGGTCATTCCTCATTGAGGCTAACCAGATCTCCCACGAACCAACCTTGACCAAGTGAGACCTCATCTCATTTTTTGCATAAACAAATTGAAACAAAAATCAAAATGAGTTTCATATCTTACACCGACAAATATATAATTTTAAAAAAAATTAAAAACATAAAATTATATGACAATCAAATTGACAAAAAAAAAAAAAAGAATTCTTAAAATCCTTTCTGGTTCAATTTAAATTCAGTTTAGTTTGCTTTCTTTTGACTCAAACCTATAAATGACAAAATTGAGGAATTATGTTTGGGACTTGGGAGTGGGTTTTTTTCTAATATCGTTCCAAATGAAACTTATTTTAAAAATACAGTTGTTTAATTAAAAATATTAAAAATATTGTAGGCTTTGAAACTTATTTTAAAAATATTGTACCACGTAAATTTTTTAAAAAATTTTATATTATTTAGTAGTTTTAATGTAAAAAACTACTCAGTGGTGTAGTGGATGTACTATTACCGGTACACCCACTGCACCCTAAGCAGTTTTTTAAATTTAAACTACTAAATAATATATAATATAACAAATTTTATTTTTAATTTTTCCAAAAATGAACCGACCGGGATGGTYGTCTTTTGAAGAGACGACAACCTCCTAAATTTAAAACAAATTTACGTGTTGTCCAGCGTGGCGSCACGTTGGATGGTCGTCTCTTCACCCTTCACTTTTTTAAAACTACTATATTTTTAAAAAAAGTTTCAAAACATACCATATTTTAAATATTTTTAATTAAAATACAATAATTTTTAAATAACTTTTATTAYTAACATTATTAATAAAAAGGGGTGTATAATTTTTCTAATTTTTAGAACCAAAAAAAGTCAATGAAAAGATTTTTTTATTGTTTTGTTTTATTTTATTTTTTTTCTTTACAGAATGCAACGAAAAGATGTCTGGGGAATTATTTTCATGAATGTTGATTTTTCCCCTTCTTATGGTCTCTTGTTTTTATTTTTCTCAATTATGCTCTTATGGTAAAAAAAAAAGTTAGAATTAATTGATAAAATGATGGCATAATGTAAAAAAAAATTGAATTAAGTTAAAAATATTTTGTGATTTAATATGATGAACTAAATATACCACTCACTCATGAAATAAAAATTTACTCATTTTTATATCTCTTAGCATATAATAACTTGATTTCAAATTGTTTATTGTTATAGATTTTTTTTAATACCTTGGTATAAAAGATTAACCTATAAAAATGTTGTTATACTAACAGTTGATAACCTTAAAAAAAGTATAATTTTTAAATGCATATATTGTCCTTCTTTTAACATTTAATAATGGTCAAAACTTGATAAGAAAAAATCAATATATAAGAGATGAAATCGAAACTT